TATGGCAACAGCTTTCTGTGACAACTTCAGGCACTTTGCTGGAAGAAGTGTGCAATCTTATCGGGGCCAGACCCAGTACATAAATATAAATATATATATATATATAGAAATGGAATGTAGCGCCGAACTAAGTTATTGAAACTGGAAAACTATAAGAAAGAATTGGGGTTTTTATTTTTCAGCGTTGATAAATCGATAGGGGCTGAGGCCTAAGGAGATAAGACCACTCGAGGTCAATATTACCCATAAAGTCTTGCTTTATTTCTTTGGGGTTGGTCGCCACTTCACTTTGTTCAGTGCAGTTTTTATTGTCGCCTTTGGAATACTAAAAAATCTAAGCCTTGGCCTCCTCCCAACCAAAAAGTAAATAAAATAAACAATAAAATTGGAGGAGAAGCATTTAAATGAAAATGAAATGCAGTTTGTGTCGTTAGCATTGAAAGTGGATATAGCATCAGTTTGTGTGTAAATCATCCGTCTATAGTTTGCCTGAGAAATCTCTCAAGTTTACAATATTTTATGAACTGAGTAAATATTTTGAGAGGTTCTCAATAAAATGGCATAAGTGTGAGAAGAGTAAACCTATAACTAAAGTATTTTATTCAAAGTTGAAAGGGTAAAAGCCTTTGAGGTTATTTTCTTTAAGCTGTAAAATTATATTATATTATTCTATAATTAAAAATGCCTGCATTTCTTTGACAGTTTTTTAACCTTGTCAAAAATAAACTTAATAAAATTCACAGGTAATATAAAATATAATAAGTAGCCGCATTAAATATATTTCCTACAGTTCAACGGCAGTTCAAAAAAATCTCATCGAGCTAAATTAAACACTAGATCCCAAGTAAGATCAACACTAGAGAGCAGCCGAAATATAAGCCAAATAAAGGCGTAAACAAATGAAGAATACTATTAACTAAATAGACACAGAATGAGCTACTACTTGAGTTACTACTTGAACTACTGAAAGGGTCATAGGGCAATCAATCAGGGAATTTACGAGGCTCTTGGCCCTCCTGCAAGGAGGACACTTGACTTAATGGTGGGGCATAAAAGTCAACTTCTCCAGCTGGAAGCTGTGAACAGAGATCTTTCTTGTTCTTTTGGAGGAAACTGTTTTCGAGGCCACTCAAACAAGTTTTCTTCTATTATTTTTTATTTTGTGGGTGAGTCTTTCTCTCTATCTCCCGGCCAAACTGACGCCATCAACCGGTTCGGGTTTTTGGCTACGCCACGGAATTTTATTTTGTTTGTTGACTCGAGTATCTGCAAGATACACAGAGTGAGTCAGTCGTACCATCTTTTCATATATACAAGTATTGAATTTTTCCAAGAAAATATATACGTTTTTCTATATCTCAACGCCAAACAACTTGTCACCTTTGTGGTTTGCCAAAGCAAAAATAAATATGTATGGCATTCAAGTCGTAATGCAGTAATTCCCCATTTGATTGATTTAGCTCCGAAAATGAAAGCGAGTTTTATTTGTATTTCATTCACGTTTTCATGCGCGGTGCGTTTTTCCATTACATGTTCGCTTTTCTCGACGCTTTTGGCGCGTTTTTGACCCTCAATTTGTTCAGGGGGTTTCCTCAACTGGCTTTTCCGCGTTTCCTGATAAATATGTAATAAGTGAGCAGCAAATTGAATCGAGTAATGCTTATGACTATGATGATGATGAATCCATGTTGTAAGAGATTACAAGTCTTGTTTCGATTATGCAATTAATCCAATTTACAACGTCTGCTGGTGATAAGTCATCAAATTGGGTTAATGCATCTCTTTGACAGTTAAATACGAATTTAATGATGGTCTTAGGCGCAGCTTGAGCAATCGACCAATTAAGTTTTAAGACTATTAACAACTGTGTCTGTTTTTTCAATATATACACAAGTAGGTACCAGCTGGCTCTGCTATTAATTTCCTTTTCGATGACACTTGGGGTTTTTTCTATCAAATTCTTCTATGTGTTTAGTAATTAAATATATTTATTTATATCCATTTGATGAATCAGTTTTGCATTGGAATTGTTGCTCAAGTAATCCAATTGTTCGGTCCAAAATGGTTTATTTATAAACATGGCCAAATGGTCAAGCAGAGGATCCATTTTCCACATGCCAAACTCATTATCATAAAGGTCCCCAAGCGAAACCCCATATTTCCACAATTTTGTAAACCTCTGCTAATCAGTTGAATAAATATGTGGACTCGACAATGCGGTGGCGAGAACTTTTCCAGATAATGATCGTTTTTACATGAAAGTTAGCCAGCCATGCAAACTAGCGACCCGTGGAGGAGCACGAGGCGGAGGGCCTGGAACTGGGCTAGAGATACCCCCACCGAAAGGAAGCGCACACATGCAACAAGTTGTTGACACACGGAATAAAACGAAATGATATACGGAGCATCCAAAGGGGCCCCATGTGGGCTGTGTGGTAGGGGTTAAGGAACTTTACATAATGGAGCAGGAGCCCCTGTAATGCTCTGGCTGTAACCACCTGGAACCACAACGGAGGCCAAGCAAATATTGACAATTTACTGGGATGACAATACAAGATGGTAGTTGGTAAGGGACTTACTTTTATTGGACCTAGATATATCACATGTCTATAAGAAAATTAATTTGTTGACTTACAAACTTAAGAGACTATTAGTTTTAAGTAAAAGCGGAAAATATAATGAATTCCCTTTATATTTGAGTATTATTTCCTTTCGAAATACAAGAAAATCTTAATCGTTTCTCTCAAAATTTGCTCTCTAATTTCAATACAAACAAATCAATTTATGAACTCTTCTCCCTACCACACATTTTATATTTTCACTGTCTCAAAAAATATAATTAAAATGTTGCTAATGAATGCATTTAAAACCGAAAGTCATCGCACAAACAAAGACGAGTGTTAAACACTCTAAATGAGCATGCAAATGGGTCCATTGAGTGTGCCCTCGAGTAGAACCAAAAGCCATGACGCCAAGAGGGGACGCACAGGCAAGAGGAGCTGGTGGCGTCGGGCTGAGTTTAATTGAAAAGCCGATAAAACAAATCCAGTTTAATCAAGTCGGAAAAGCCGAGAAGAACCGCAACCAGTTTTCCAAAGCAACGGGGCGCCGCCATGGAGGTGGCATTCGATCAAAACATGAAGGAAGCCTTGAACTAGACCAAGCAGCAACTCAAGGAAAAGTGGTTCTGTCAGGGGCTGCTCTCTGGCTCTCTGGTGGCGTTCTGCGATGTCGGGAAGTATATATAGTGTATATATTGAGAAGTAAACAGAGGACAAGGCCATCCATGGGTGGAATCAATAAACACTAAAGTCACTCGCCAAATGTAAACTTTTTGCAACTTTGTCAGATTACATTTTATCGCTATCATGAGCTTCAGGAAAATTACTTAATTCCTATAGGAATATTTCAAAAAATATATAAATATGAATGCTAAAATGATTGAATTAAAAAACAAAGGAGAATTTAAAGCAAACTATTTTAGAAAACCCTGTTTTTGAATAATATTTTTTTTGACACTTTCAAGATTACAGAAAATACTTTATTTTGAAATAATTACTGATTTAATAGATGGTTTGATATTCCAACTATTAGGTGTTAGGGGAAATCTGATATATGATATACATATATAAATTTAGATTTTCTTATTTTGAATTCTTTTAAAAACTTTTTTGCTACTTATTTTGCTCTAAAAAAGAACTAATTTTAAGTATAACCGATTTCCTTACCTTTTTCTCAGGTTATCCATAAACTTCTCCATGGACACATGGTCCAACAGGACAAAGTCCTGGACGCCGGCTTCCCGCTGCATGGCCATGTTGATGTCCTGTTTTCCTCCCGTTTGTTGTGCTCACGTTCGCAGGTATAGAGAGAATGAGGGAACTCGCAAGGGGTTGCTAATTGCCGGCTGCAAGGGGCGAAGGTGATCGAGACGAGACTCAGGTAACACTCAGTGGCCGTTGGCCTGATGATGATCCGATCCAGAATGTGGCGAAGAAACGAGTGAAGAGCAGCGTTAACTTGGCTTTTGTTTTGCTTGTTCGGTTTGCCTTGCCTTTCGCGTCTCGTTCCGAATTTTAAATATACATATATTTACTATATGTGTATATGTATATTGATGTTGTCGCTGGCCAGCGATTTTTATGTTTTATGGGCCGATTTTCGGTCTCTGCTGCGACGAATAATTTTCGCTGTGACAACAGACACGACGACGAAATCGGTTTCGGATTTAAAATCAAACGAAGAGCGTCTCGCCGAATTAATAATAAAATATTTTTGGCCAGATCGGAGGCGTCTCCAATTGGAATTAAACAAGAACAAGAACGGGGAGCACACGGAGTTTAGGAACCACTCTTTTCGCCGCACTAAATACCGCAAGTTTCGCGTCGCCGCCCGAGGTAAACATTTATTTTTGACGTGCTGACGTGCGATCGAGTAGCAACCGCGCACGACCAGGTTCGAAGAGACTTTGCTGCTGCTGCAGTGTTTGCCAGTTTAGCTTGCTATATCTGGCATATTTGAAAATGGAAAAGCTTATGAAGTTTGTAGCTTAAAGCTTTAAAGAGCAGACGGCACGCAGAAGTTTTTATACCCTTGCGGCTTTCAATTGCCTAGTTTCATTCTGATTATCATTAACTTTAATTAATATGAGCAAATGTCATTTTCTTAAACGCTTTCTTATATTTTTATATTATTTTCCGACATCGATATATAATTTTCTCAAGCCACTGGAGATTTGTATAAATTCAAACAAAGTTTTCAATAAACATAATAACTAAAGTGGTCACCAGAATCTGTCTGTTCAATTTAAAATTAACTGGATATTGTTGGTCCTGTTTTTATTATATTGACTTAATTATTTTTAATATTTGTGACATTTAATAAGCAGCAACGCTGATTGAGTTAGTGATGTGAGAAATGGGCTTATTTCTAATACTTCAAAAAGCGATATATCGATATTTTTCTCAAATAAAATCGATATTCTTATGAGCCATCGCTATCGCACCAACAGCTGTTCCTGGTCTCGTAACATTTAATTTAATTTTGTTTCTTGTTAAATTCATGCTAAAATGAATAAAATCACGCGTGCCTACATCAGCGTTTTGCGGCAGAGCACTTCCTCCGGCGGCAGCTCTACTCTACTGGGTCGCCAGCTGTCCTATAAGAGCGATTTGTCCCTGGATAAGATTTACCCCAGCGCCCGCCTGCAGCTATACACGCCGCCACCGCCGGTAAGAAGTCGGGTTTCTGTACTGGTATCACCTTCTAATAGTTCCCCTCTCCAGCCTCCTGGGAGTAACAACAAGTTCAATGGCTTTATACCCATGGACAAGGTGGAGATCACCTACAGTCGCAGCTCTGGACCTGGCGGCCAGCACGTGAACACTGTAAACACTAAGGTGGACCTTCGTTTTAAGCTGGCGGAGGCCGAGTGGATCCCAGAACAGACGCGTCAAAAGCTGCTGAAAGAGCTAGCCAATCGGATCACCAAAGATGGCTACTTTTATATTAAAAGCGACCTCACACGTTCCCAGCAAATGAACCTGGCAGATGCTCTAGAGAAGCTGCGCACCATCATACGTTCTCAGGAGGTTGTGGAAGCTGCCCCGCCCAGCGAAGAGACGCTGGAGAAGCTGCGTCGGCGCCAAGAGCGGGCGGCACGTGAGCGACTCCAACTGAAACGAGGACGTGCCCAGGTAAAGGCGGATCGCCAAGGACCCAGTGGGGTGGACTTGTAATTATTGTTATTGGAAATTGTTGCACAGAAATTTACACATTACACAGATAGACACTTAAACGCGATGTTTGGAAGCTAGAACTTGGTTTTAGGGAAGCTGCTCGTCTTCGCGGGCAGGCGTGACTGTAAACCGCTTTGTACTGGCCACTTGGATGATGCTTTCCCTGAGCGTTTCGTCCTTGGCCGCTTTCGAGGGCATGCTGGCGAAACGGGGACGCTTAAAGAAAGCAAACATGAGCCAGGAATTACGGATAAATAACTAAACTTACAGGTTGTGGCGGACTTAACTGGATGGTGACATCGTGGCTCCTTTGTGAGGGCCTACTAACCACACTATGGCGTTGCCGCCGCTGCTCTTCTGGTAGCTGGCCCTGCTCCCTTCGTAACGCATACAACTGCTCGAGACGGTGGATTGTGGAGAAGCCTGCCGCGCCAGGATGCTGCATCGAAAAGCTATGACGATTGCTTAGCGGCGACCATGTGTGCTGATAGACCGTTTCGTCCAGGTGACGCAGGAACTGTCGATTTATGGAGTTAAGTGCCTGCTGGTCCTCGGTGGGCAAGTTTGCCAGCAGCTCATCCAAGATCTCAGCTTCGGTTTCGACTTTTCCATGACGCACCAGCTTGATGTCATGCTTCCAAAACTGTCTGTTCTTCCGCCCAATCACCGGTGCGATCTCCTTCACCTTCAGCACCAGGATGCCCATCAGGTAGACGCACAGCACATTGGAAAGCGTCAGGCACATACTGATACTTCCCAGTACGGCCAGCTCCGTGGCCTGGTTGTCCGAGTAACGACGCGACTTGATCACATCCACATACAGGGAGTCGTCGTTCTCGAAGATCTTGTAGATGCACGCCACGGCCCAGAGGAGACCCGAGTTCACGGCTGGCGGTAGCAGGGAGGCGGAAATGGCCACACCAACCAGAGAACCAATATTACCACCCAGGATACCTATGGCAGCCGCAGCTCCAGAAGGAATGGCCGTAAAGACTCCCACAATTAGGGAGTGAAGGTCGCAGCGTGAAAGCATCTCTTCGGTGAGGCCTTCACCGATGCCATACTTGTGATCCGTGGTGCAGACGACCAGGCCGAAAAGGAATCCCACCAAGGTGGCCGTCAGGATGCCAATCAGCTCGTTCAGCATTCCCAATTTTCGGAGAGATCTGTCTTGGATTACAGTTCCAAATATGGCTGCGATAATGGGACCCATTAGCGGAGATATCAGCATGCTCGAAGCCAGGAAAATGGTGCTGTTCTCCACCAGACCAAAGCTGGCCAGAATTCTGCAATCGGTAGGGTTTTGTTAGTACAGATGATTTTAAAATTGTGACTAATCCATATTATTACTACGACTAGTTCAATTTGCTTTTAATGACTATACCTTCGTAATAAGCTATTACTCACGCTGCTGATACGAGGAGTATGCAAAAGTCAAAGGTTATAGCCGCATCCTGTCGCACATCTCGGACTATTTGGGCCACATTTAATCGGGATCTTACCGAGTTCATGAATTTGTTCCAAATGCCCTGCTTCTGGGCATTGATTTTCCTAAAAAAGAAACTATTTAGACCACAAAAAAGATCAAGTAAGTTAAATAGCTTTACTCGCTGCTCGAGGGCTGATCTGCAGTCTCTTCCTCGAACGTCTCACGCTGAGCATAGGACCTATTAGCCAGGCAGCTGACCACTGACACCGTGGAGCCCTCCCGATCGCCGATGCCCCACTCCTGCAGGGACTCGTAAAGCTCTTCATAACGCTCGTCGAACTCCATGGAGAAGCTGATGTGAAAGGCATTACCCTCCAAACTTCGCAACCAGATGGCATTGGGTATGTGAAAATTGCGTAGGATACGGCGGAGCACCTGTTCCTGATCCGTATCCAGGGGCATGTCGAGCAAGTGATCCCCATCCGGTGGCTGAATTTGTATAATGGGCGGCGGATTTGTCGACTTTTGCCTTGAGTTTCTGGGCGTTTCTTCCGGTGGGGAATCCCCTATTCGAATGGTGGACAGACTTTCGAGCGTGGAAGCTCTGCTGGCTGTGGGAGTGGGTGTCTCCTGAACGAACACATCCTTCAGGCGATCCTCTTCCGCCTTGGTGGGTATGGTGATCGTAAAGAGCACAGCGGCTGTTCCAGTCATTGCGTATGCGGGATCGGAAATGATTGTCCCACGTACTCTGTGTTTACAGCACACTTTGTATTACAAATCGATCGAGTGCATAATCGATGCACGAAAACACACACACGTGGACAGGAGACGGACGCGAACCGGCACTGATCTTCTTTGTACTGGAGGTGGAGGTGGAAGTATGCGTATGCATTGAAGCCTCGCTTGTTATTGCTCGCACTGATAACGGTTCTTAGCTGGCGCTGATCTGCTTCCTCCCGATCTGGCAGTCACCGGGAGCTCTATAATTTCCACTTGGCCATATTTAGGTTGTGGGAAAAGCTGAGCTTTCAGTGAGTTCCCGCCTTCTTTTGAAGTTTGAAAGAGGAAAAACTTTGATAGAGTTCTTGGTAGACTTAAAATAGTTCAATTACCGATCATTAGGATACTTTTTGTTGACTGGCTCCAAGCTTGACAATACGAGGTCCAACCACCTTTTAAATATAAATTTGATGCAATGATTTATATTGATTTTATAGCCTATACTTATGCACTTAGTTTTAAAGTTTATAGCTAAGTCAACGCCTTTTCAGTAAGCCCGAAATCCCATTAGCTTTTCCGTCTAAGGGGTGCTACGGTTTAATTGTCAGAAATTTAATTAACCCCCAATTGCCGACAATTTCAAAGATCACGCCAAGTCTATTTAGCTTTAAACGAATAATATTTCACTCGCGAGATATATTTATGCAATTATAAACCTAAGTAGGAGTTACCACAAGTTGTCACGCTTTAGTACAACATTAAGGGAGTATCTTGCATCTAGAAGGGGGTTTACTTATCCTATTAATTAATTATTGTCATTTATATTACGCCTTTGAACGTCAGTAGGGTTCAAGTTTACTGAATCATGATATGAATGTCTATATGCACTGCTGCCATATTACTGATCTTGCTAATCGCAATTGGAGCCCATTTGTATGCAGGTATGGCGATGTCATTGTCCGAGAAAATTAAAATACAATACAATGCGCCTCTGTGATGGAAGAAACAAACTTTATTCGTCATCGGAGTATGTAGCTTCTCGTATGTACATAGATGCAAATGCAGCGAGAATGGAAGTGTAAATGCCACTAAAACTGACTAAAAACAAATAGCTTGAATTGCACATTAACAAGGTTCTCTTAGCTAAAGCCAAAAGCATTTAAAATGCAAACAACTACGATTCATATTGGAATGCTTAGGGTATAAAAAAATGTGTCATGTTGATCTTTCTATCCCGCGGCTGACCACGGGTTCAGTGCGGATTCTTCCCGTGTTTCTTTCTCTCTTCCTAAACTAAACTCGCCTCGTCGTTTTTTTTCTTACAAATTAATTAACAGCATATGATTGGGCAAAAAGGCAAGGCTTTCATGCATCGAGTCGCGTCGCCTAGAAACGAATCTCGTTGCGCTGCACCTGATCGTACACCTGAGGCGTGAGCAGCTCGTAACGTCCCTTGGAGGTCTGATAGTAGAGAGTATCCTTGATAGAGTTCGGGTCGTAGCCCTCCTTCTGCAGATCCACCTTGCGCAGCTTGAACGTGCCGGTGAGATCCACCTTGGTCAGGAGACGAATGATCTGGGGACGAGCGTAGGCGGGCAGCACCTTTGCCAAAATGGCGGCGAAGGCGTCGAGATCGAGCTCCCGCTGTGGATCGTAAATTGCTGCCATGCCAGCCCTGCCTTCGGTGTGCGGAATGGTTATGCCGTAGACAACGGTATCCTTGTAGCCGGCAACATTGCTGACTTGAGCCTCTACCTCGCTGGTGGACACATTCTCGCCCTTCCAGCGGAAGGTGTCGCCGGTGCGGTCCTTGAAGTACAGATAGCCTTTTTCGTCAGCCACCAGGAGATCCCCGGATAGAAAAGCCATATCGCCGTGCTTGAATACATCCTTGACGATTTTCTTGGCCGAGGCCTTGGCATCCACGTAGCCGAGGAACTCGCGCGATGGATTTCCCTTGACGATCTTGCCGATGAAGACACCCGGCTCATTGGGAGCGCACAGCTGGCAGAGGCCGTCCTTGTTCCTAATGGGCTCCCCAGTGTCCGGGTCGGCACGAATAATCGAAATGGGATAGATCTTGGGCAGGATGCGGGATACAAAGCCAATGGCGCCCACGGTGTTGTCGTGATTCATAATGTTGGCATTTCCCTCAGTCGCTCCGTAGAACTCTCCCACCTTGGCAACGTTGAAGCGCTCCACGAACTGAGGCCAGATTTGAGGACGCAGTCCGTTGCCGAACACAAGACGCACACGATGCTTGCGGTCATATTCCGATGGCTTCGTAGCTAGGATATAGCGGGCCATCTCGCCGATATACTGTCCAATCTGGGAATGTAGCATATTGTTAGTCTATTCTTATTTTTCTAAGGTGCAATAAATCCCACTTACAGTCGCATTGTACTTGGCGCAGTCGGCGAAATAATTGGAGGCAGAGAACTTCTTGCGAATGGACACGGTGGAACCGAATAGAACCGACTGACCCATGCACATGATGCCGCCAGCGGTGTGATACAAGGGCAGGGGGGTATAGAATATGTCTTCCTCCTGGAAGCCCATGGTGTAATGGATGCCAGCAGCGATGAACAGATAACTGAGGGAGAATATTATTGATCGAGGAATCTTTATAAAACCTTTTCAGATACCCACCGAGAGTGTGAGATGACAGCCGCCTTGGGTAGACCCGTGGTGCCCGAGGTATAGATATAGACGAGTTTATCGTGGTGGTTAACCTGCGCCTTGTTGGGCTTGTCCTTGCTGGCCGTAGCGAGCAGCGCATTTAGGTTCTTGGACCTGGCAATGTCCTTCTCCGTCGTCTGGCTGTTGTTGTTCTCATTGTTAAACTGGAACAGTGTCAACTCAGCGGGCAGTTCCTTGGCCACCTCAGAGACAGCTTCCAAAAAGTCCTCGCCGTAAATGAGGGCGGTGCAATGGGCCACCGTGATGCTGTGCAGCAAAGATGGTCCTCGCAGGTTCGTGTTGATCAAGGGAGTGATTACGCCAATCTTGGACAGACCCAGCCAGGTGGCCACATATTCGGCACGGTTCTCCAGCAGCAGGGCAACCACATCGCCCTTTTGAAAGCCCTGCGCCTGCAGTACATTGGCCACCTTGTTGGCGTGCTCGTTGACCTGGCTAAAGGTCCAGCGTTGCGTGTCACTGACCACGGCCACCTTGTCGGGATGGGCGCGCACATTGCGCTCAAAGACGTCCGCCACAGTGTAATTGAGACGTTCATGGCGCTTGGTATACCTCAGGAGCTTGATGTAGGCCCAGAGAGCTCTGTGGGGGAAAAGTAAATGAGGTTCAAATCACTTAAAAATGTGTGTATCTTAAATATAAAGTATCTTCAAGTTTAAGATTATTTTATCTAATAGATATTTAAGTGATAAAACAAACAGTTATTGATTATTATACTGCGTGTGGGAAAGGTACATATCTGATTAGTGTTAGTCAGTATCTTCCTGCATCGATCGCGTGTGTTTTATGGTTTGGCGGTTTGGGACGGACATGACCACTAAAAATAGCGCAACACAGAAAATCGAAGCTCGACAAGCGCAACAGCCGCCGTGATGTGCGATATAAGCCCCAGAGATAAAGCCACCTGGAGAGTGGTGGGCAATGGCTGCAATCGAGACCGAACGAACGTGGTTACCTACAGTCTGACACAAATTTATGACGTTGCTAAATCCGGAGAGCTAAGTAATCGCGGGAAGGTCAAATTCCACGTAATTATTTGCAAAAGGGATTACACATAATATAAGCCATAAGATTCACATAAGTCAATCCATTTATTATGCACTGTACTCATAAGGGATTAAAAATGTTTTCTTTTGTTGTATTTCCAATTGATATCAGCAACCTTTTGAACATAGTGACCCTCGGCTGATAAGACTAAGCCCTGATTGTCAAAATAGGTTTATAGTCAGACAAGCTGCAGTTGTTTATGCATTATATATTTGTTTTTATAAATGAAGTATTAGTGCTTAAAGCGTTTATCTGAACATTATTATAATCTCTAAATAATAATTATCTTTGTATAATATTTTAAATGTTTGTTGGAACGTAAAATATTGAATTATAATTGTTATAATCCTCTTAAATTAAAGTTTAATATAATAATTGCCTAGTTCCGGTCTAAAAAACCTACAGAAAACACTTGAAACCCCCAAGATCTAAAGGCTATTTGATACGCTCTGTATATATAGCAGGTAATCCCAATCGTTTCTTCTTCGCAATTATAATTAGCTACGATAGTTCGACGAAATAGTTTTAGAAAAGAGACAAAACTTGCTTTCGACTTGGGACTCGAACATTTCAACTTCGACGATCTCAATTTGAATTCGCTTTGCACTCGTACTTTGCTCGGCCCAAAGGGGCAGTGGCAGTGAAGTACCGATAAGATTGCCAGCTTAGCTCGTTTAGTCGTGTATTTATAAGGCTTTAATCAGGCCTTATGACCCCTTTCGAGTGGTTTGATTGGTATTTTTGGCAGTGTTTGCTCCAAGATAAGTCTCTGGCGGTCAGCACAACTCCGAAACGTGTCCAAGGTTGACCGCTATGAGAAAAACTTGAAGTTGATCTTAAGAATCCGATGTGTGAGCGCAGATATATGAAACTGTTTATACTTATACGAAGTATGTGAATATCCGAAGTGTGTGCTGTTCTGACCTTGGCATGGAACTCGATCTGCTTTGTCGGAGAGACTCATTAAATCGCAAAATGCTAAGCAAATTGTATAATTTCGCTGAAGAAGCTAGAATTGCTTAAGGTTTGAGTTGTAGAACACTCTTTAGCCTTGATACACTAAAAAGTTGTGTCTTTGTTAGTTGCACATTGTTTCGTACAATATATGGCTGATTTTTAAACTAAATTTGTAAAATATTTTACGAAGAGAGTAAAATCTTTTCACTTTTAAACACATAACTTGTTAATTTTAGAGCTTAAGACATTATTTAAGGTGTGAAAGAGAAATACCTAACGATCTCTGATCACTTTGGCCCCTGGCAACCCTAGACAAAAATTCAAAAATACAAAAAGACAGACATAGGCGATACTTCCGCCATTTTAATTGATTGTCTCCACTTTGGCTTTCGGCGTACGTTTTCAAGAACAGGCGGGGATCGGTGGAGAGGCGAGAGGAGGGGCTATCCGATCGGTTAGTGTGCCAGTAAGTCTTCCGGCTGACGCAGTCGAGCCATTAGTATGCGCCGAGGGCCATGTTGGGCGACGACGATCGTACAAAGTCAATGGAAAATAAAAGTGAGTCTTGTTGCTCGTTTTGGCAGTTTGTTTTGGTTTTTGATTTTGGGCTTAGGGTACATAACAGGCGACCTTGAACCTGAAGAAGTCAATAAACTTGATCGAATATATGGCCAATAAGAAAAACACAAAAGCCAAACCTATATTTAACTCTAGGGGAAGCCATTATCTCACTTTACTAGCGTGTTTTGTAAGCAATTTTCGGTGTAGAAAGAAAATTCATATCCGCTGGCAATTTCCCTGTGAAGTTTTCTCTTTACAGTTTTCCGCCAGCACCAGCAACAACTATTAAAAGTGGCTGCTGCAGACGACCCACATAAACGGAAAACGAGTTTCTCTGCGGTTTTGAATGGGGGAGGGGGGCTGGCCAGGCAGGGGCAGCAGCTGGCCCCGGGTACATCGGACAAAGTACTCGCACTCGGCTGTTCGTTCTCCTCCTCAATGGAATCACAAAGGAGACAAGACCCAGGCTAAATTGTATTGAAATGCACACCGTTCGGGGGCGGTATTGTAAACCTATCACCATCGCCCCGTAGGGAACAGCAAAGCCCCACTAAATGGAACACCAAACTCACGTCAGATCGCGGTTGGCGGTGGCTCCCGCAATGTAGAACCAGCGCCAGCCAGGTTTTGTCAACAGCAGAGCGACCAGCGCGATGAGCACCGCAAATATCCAGCCCATTGTGTGGAGCGTGTAGATGACGCAGGCGATGGCGAAACCGAAAGCAACCGTAGCGCAGAAAAACCGAAAAACGAATAAAAAGCGTTCGCGCCGTACGCGCTTTTGCTGGTGAGATCGGATCAGCTGATCAGCTGAACGCTGGCGTTGCCAGATGGGCGAGGGAGATTGAAAAAAGAATACGTTATTTTGTTGGTAGAAAATTTCAGGTTTTGGAAGGATTAAACATACATTTGTGCTATATAGCGCGCAGTTGTCGATGTTGATTATAACGTTGCTGTTCACATGATTGTCCAATAAGCTGTTGTGCTGTTACGAAAAAGATCACCAACGAATATTTAATGTAATTAATAATTTACGATCGAACCATATGTTGCAACATTACTTACCGCAAGCCTGGGACTGCCAATACTGGTGCTGTTGTAACGCAAACGCTGATAACGTTCGTTGCGCTGTCACAAGAACCCATTGAACATGTAGAAGGGTAGAAAGTGACGGCGAGCCTTTCGAAATAGCATTTTTCAGAATTATATGGGTTGCCTTTTCTTGCAATTTGCAGTTTATCTTATTTTTGTTTTGTAACTTCCTTTGGTTTGTTTGTTTTCTTTTCTCCAAGAGCTTTTATGTTGCAGTTCGGAACCAGTTTTTGAAATGAGCTTAAACTATCGATTAATCGATATCTGTGTTTACACCGAGCTGATAGCTGCACAGCTGTTTTGCCACCAGGTGGCATCCCGAGAACCACAAATGTTTTGTTTTATTTAGCGCGTATTTATTATTGTATATTTGCCGCCATGAAAATCCTCTGCGAGGTACAGGTGGTAAACCGAAACACACAGGCCAACCGAACACCGAGGCCCGTCAAGTCCACACTGGCCATTGGCTACAAGCAGAGCGCCCGGGATGCCAACGGCAACACCAAGAAGGAGCTGGAAATGGTGCTCTTCAGCGGCCAAAGCAAGACGGGCAGCCGATACAAAGTGCGGGACAACATTCACGCCGTGCACACCAAGTTCGTGTTGGACGGCAAGGCCACAATTGGCTTCAAGCAGCCGGCGGAGAACCTGCTAATCAAGTGCGACCCCATACAGCTAAAGGGATTCCTGCAGACCCTCAAGCTTGGTATGGAGGGCAAGGAGGCTATTAATCTGAGACTGAACATCGCTGCTGCCACGGCCATACCTCAGAAGGCGCAACCCCAAGTGAAAATGGTAATCAGCAAGCGGAGCGAGTACCCCATCAAGGGATTCCCGCGCACCCTCAAGTCGCTGACCATCAACAACAGCCAGCTGGTGAAGCTCAGCTTCGAGATCTGCTCCCTGCGCAACCTCACGAAGCTGGACGTCAGTGGCAACAAGCTGACAAAGGTGAGTTTGGGTTTAAGGCTGTAAAACTGAACCAAACCCTTGCAAACCTGCATTACAGATTCCTTCAGAGCTGGGTCGCCTGGCGCTGAGCTCGCTGCATCTGGGGAGCAACTGCTTAGGCGAACTTAACGACTGGTGCTGGCTGCGCGGCACCAAGCTAAGCCAGTCCCTCGGTGAGTTGGACCTGTCAAGCAATGGACTAACCCATTTTCCGCCCCCGCTGGTAAAATGTGAGCGTTTGGTGTCGCTTAATTTGAACGACAACCAACTGACTCGACTGCCGTTCTCCATCCGCCGGCTGCAGGCATTAAGGAAGCTTCACGTGTGCAGCAACAAGTTGGAGTCGCTGCCCTCTGCTATCGAGGACCTTCACATCGATCTGCTAGACGTATGGGGCAATTGCTTCAAAGCCTTTAACAGCGAGGAGGCCCAACAGTTGACTAAACGAACGTCCGGGAACAGCACACCGCAACCGTTGTGGCTGCAGGCGGCTCGGGCTGTTGCGAACTATAAGTTGCCTCTGCCGGCCGGCTCCTTGCCCGCTGTTCTCATTGAACTCATCTGCGAGGCGCCCAAGTGCCTATGCGGGCAGCTCTGTTACGCGCTCAGCAAAGAGGATCTTCTCCAGCGCGTCGTCCAGCCGAAGTTCACCAACATTAAGAACTTGACCTATAGTCGTGAGCATCAGATCTACGCTGATGTCGTCATCTGCGGCCCCACATGTAGTGCCTCGCAGCAGTTAAAGTCTCTGTTTAGTTTAGTATTTCCCTGATAGTAGCAGGTTCTATTCTTTCCCGAAGTGAAGTCCTCTAAATTTCTTTAATTTTACCATGAATATTTTTATAAGTTCACAACATATTTTCATTTTTCATTTAATTCATTTTTTTATTTATAGTCTATATACTTGTATCTAAGCTGCCAATTAAATCGATTTTAGAATTAAAAAATTAATGGATTTCAAACTTTCTCAACCTATCAGCATGAGCAAGTAGGAAAAGTTTAAAAGAAATAGTTTAGCTTCACTACATACATACATAAGAGGATAAAGTATTGATTTCGGGTTATTCAGTGGCACAGTTTTACCCATATTGGCTAAAAAAGCGCTCTGGTGAGACCGGGCAACTCCTTGAAGGCGGTGTAGAACCTCCTTCCCGGCAAATTTTCGCTGGCATAAAGACATTCACACGCACGCCTTGGTTGCTTACTTTGTTTTCGTATTACAGGATGCTCGTTGTTTTTATTATTAAAAGCTTCGTGCGTATGTGACTTGCATAAACGATTTTTTTTATCAGCCGGCACACCTACTCAACCCACAGTGCGTCCTTTTATTTTCAAATAACGAATTCTTAGTACACTTTGTCTGGAAATAGGGATTAGTATAGAGTTTATGAGGTTCTAGGTATTCATATTTATTAATCATTTAAATATTTTACAAACTTTAATTGATTTAAATGCCCTTGTCATTAAAATTTAATGGTCTTAATGGTCATGATGTTTTCTTATTAGTTTGGTGTTACGATTTAAGAACTATAAACTTGCAAGAAGTCTATTATTATTAATAATATTAAGATATACGATTGTAAAGGAATAATAATTAAAAATACAAGTTTTCGTCATTTAATAATTCAGATTGAAGGGTATCCCAACTTGTCCTGCAATATAAACACTTTTTTTGTTTTGGTGTCCTTATCGCTTGCCTTTTTCTTTGCCTTTCTTTTGCTTTATCAAATCAAAACTTCGAAGCGAAGCTACTTTTTTAAATAAGCATAAACAGAGGCCCATCCTTGCAGAGACACAGCCTCAGTCCCAGCCACTCCCACTCTTCGTTTTGCCTAGGCTTTAATGTGCAGCTGGGGAATAAGGCGGCGAAGGAATCGAGTCGTGAAAGAGCAAAAAGGATGAGCCATGACTTGTGGCAAAACTCGGGCCTAACTATAAAAATGTTTATCAGTAGAGAGTTTCTTCTAAGCTGCCCCAAATCCAATTTTGAGCAGCATTTAAGTGTCCTGGCTGCTCCGTTTCCGCTTCCTTCTCTTTCGGGCTTCAGGCTTTCGTTTTCTGTTTGCCATGCAGATGTGTGTGTATGTGCGTGTATAAGTGTGAGTGTGCTCCACACGATGTCCTTTTGCCGTTTTTGCGCTTTTAGCCCTGACTTTGTGTCTGCTTGTGTGCGCAAATATTTGGCATGACTTTACATTCGCAGCTCGCCTCGGTACGGTCAGTAAGCCTAAAAGTAGGCAATGTCAGGGCCTAATGGGAGGAAATCACAGCTATGTGCATATGGTAGTAGGGGGTTTAGGATACACTGCGTTACAAGTTGAAATAAATTTATTTTAGGAAATTATGAGCAATACCCTTGCAGTGTATTCTAATTTCAGTCAGAAGCTTAAAACTCAGTGAAGGAGTATTTTCCGACCCTATAAATCATATATATTCTTAATCAGCATCAAAAGCTGAAACGATCTAGCTATGTTTGGGTAAAATTTATTTTTTTCAAATTTTTACATATTTTTTATCGTTAAAATTGTCAAAAATGGGCAAAAAATGTTGATTTTTTAAGAATTTAAACTGAGTATGCAGATTTAATATAGCAATTAAAACTAGCATAGGACAGGTTTCAGAATTAAAATTTAGGCCTTTTTGGCTTAGTTATGAGTTTTTAAAAAATTTATTTGTCAACAAAATTTGTACATAAAAATATAGATCATTATCAGCTCAAAAATGGGATCATAGTTTCAGTCAGAAGCTTAAAACTAAGTGAAGAAGTCATTTCCGACCCTATAAATCATATATATTCTTAATCAGCATCAAAAGCTGAAACGATCTAGATATGTTTGGGTAAAATTTTTTTTTTCAAATTTTTGAAAATTTTATAATGCAGTTACATCGTTAAAATTGTCAAAATTTGATTAAAAAATTTAATTTTTTACACTTAAAATCTGAGTATGCAGATTTGTTTGCCCTAAAAAAACTAGCATAGAAAAGTTTTCCGATTTAAAATTAATGCATTTTTGGCTTAGTTATGATATTTAAAAATCCTTGATTTACCCAATTATTAGCATACAAAAATATGAATATAATATACCTGGAATACACATATTTTGGCTCTTTTTCTTTTCTTCTATCTTATCTATTTCTTTATTCAATAAATAAACTTAACAAGTGCTGTCAATTTTCCCTTAAATTCCACTTATTTTGAATTCAAATCTTTATTCCTTGAAGATATTCCTATTACTTCCTTCCATTCCCTTTAAAATTTTTATTCTCGGTCCAGTCTTTGTCCCTTAAAAGTATGCTAAGCACAACATTTTTGGCTTTTCCGACTCGTAAGCCCATGAAAAATCAGTAAGCACACAAATTTGTATATTTTATATACACATAAACGAAGATACGAAAAAAGCGTTATGGACCAGCCATTCAGACCATATATAAAAACGTTTCGAAATTTCGTCTGGCCTCCTTTGCCTCAGCCCCGACTCCTCTTTAATAAAAGCAACCCCCAATCATTGGCACTGTTTCGGATCCCAAAAACAAAAACACAAAAAATGTAAAAATGTGCCGACTCAGCTCAGGGAATGGAAATTTAACAAGTCCCCCAAACAAGTACACCCAAGTCCACGCTCGGAGACAGTAAAAACTCCATTAACTGTCATCAAAAATGCATTTCGCATGCATCAAACCGAAATGGGCTCGTCCAGGAGGGGATCATCAAATAGAATAGAATGAAATGGCGCAAATCAAAACACATTGGCATAAATCAAAGAGCAAAGGGCACAAAAAATTGGAAGAAACACACACTTTTATGGCTAATCCTGGCGTCGGCGTTGGACCAAAGCCCGGACAGATGACTCCCCTGGCAACATTTTTATGCGCAAATTAACTTTGCAATTGCCGGGAGGAGGAGGAGAGGAGTTGGGTACTATCCTGGGGGTGAACTTAGGGATGTCTGGGTGCTGTGTCACTCCCCCTGCATTACATAAAATTTATCCCCAATTTGCGTGCAGCGGGTAAACATTTTATATGCCTCCATCTCCATCTCCCCCCGTCCGTCTGTCTGTGGCTCCACTTTGGCTTATCAAATTTTATTAGCAGGCCAGCAGCAGCAGCAGGAGCGGCGGCGGCAGCAAATTGTGCTGCAACAACAGTACATCAGCCACCACATTACGGGCTTCATAAGCCGTGGTGGAGCCACAAGCTGAAGCCACCCCCGCCAGTGCAGGCCCAGTTTAGCGACTCCGCCTGCGTCTCAAGGTATGATTTGTCGTCCGCTATCAATTTCTTTAACACAATACCGAGGCAACAACATCCCCCGGAAAAGAGTCGCCTTCAGAGCTGGAAAAACGACCGGAAAAGTGCAAACACACGCGAAACTGTCGTCGTTGAACCCCTCGGTTTCCTTCAGGACTCCAAACTGTTTTGGGGGCTTGTCGTCCCAGACGCGTGCAGGGATCTAATAAAAACGTTTTGATAGGCTTATGACCAGCAGGTCTCACTCCCGTATATATATGCTATATATATATTTGTCTTAATAATATTTCAAATTCACTTGCTAACTGTTACAGCAAATTTAGATAAGGCCTGAACAGAAAATCAATATTCTCACCCAGAAAAACTTGGCCACAAGAGGGGTGTAAAGGAATGCCCAGTTTAAGGAGTGTTTAAATTGGTTAAGAGGGGTGTTAAGTGCTCCTTAGAGAAGGTTTTGAAACCTTGAAGAGGATCTTTAATATTGCAAATTAAAGGAAGTTATTTAAAGGCAACGTAACTCTAGGAAATAAATTATCATTAAGTTTCTACAATTTCGTATTAACTATATTTCATAAATTCATAAAAATTTAAACCTGTTCTTGAAAAAAAAACCTAACCAATCTTGAATAAATTACTCACATAACAAGGGATATAGCTCACGGTTTCAGGACCTCATTTCCTTGTATTGCTCATATTTACTTACCATTGCCATGAATCCCCCAGAAATATGTATATGGCATTCAAATACAAAATTGAAAGTCACTCAGGCGCACTTATTGTTGGCAAATGGCCCCTTTATCCTGGCTTCCAGCTTCCGCTCCCAGCTGCCAGTGACTCCTCTTCCAACTGACCGCGGGCCAAAGGCAAATCAATCGCAGGAAAAAAAAATTGAGCAAGCAGCAAGTTGGCCAAATCAAATGCTATGGCCAAACGGTAGAACACACTCGAGCATTGGGAAAAATCAATTTTCAATTTAAAATTTAGATGCTCATCCCCTTCATTCCATTCGGCTTGCCATAAAAGATAAAGATAAAAATGCGTTCGAGCGCAAAATGTAAATAGAGCTCCCGCTTTTAACCGAAACTCAGGCAGGCGGATGAATGCTACAGGTTGTATTTGTGTTTGTCCTTGTTTCCTCCTCCTCCTCTGAAAATGATGGGTGGTGCTATCTCGATAGGCGTTGGGTGGATTTGTGGGCAATTCGTTAGGGAGATGGGGTCTGGCCAAGCGATTTCAAAGCAAAATATTGCGCATAAATCTGAAGCAAAAAGTTTGCTTTGCGGTCAGCCAAAAAGAATAAGAGAGAGAGAGTTCTGTTGTAATAAGGGGTATCAGGTGGGTATGATAGGTATAGGCTGGTAATATAATAAATAAGTAATACATTTTTAGATCTTAGATGTTAAGGCAAAGAAATGGGACATATTAAAAGGAGCCTTGCAGGGTATTCTAATTTTAGTCACAAGCTTAAAACTAAGTGAAGGAGTCATTTCCGACCCTATAAATCATATATATTCTTGATCAGCATCAAAAGCTGAATCGATCTAGACATCTTCGGTTACAAAAAAAAATTTGAAAATTTGTTGTTACATTTTTACAAAAAAAAAGATAAGGGGTTACATCGTTAAAATTGTCAAAATTTTTAATTTTTTAAATTTTAAATTGAGTATGCAGATTTAATACTCTAACAAAAACTAGCACAGGACAGCTATTCGAATTAAAATTACTGCTGTTTTGGCTTAGTTATGAACATTTTAAATTTCGATTTGTCGAAAAAAATTGCTGAATAAAATATAGATAAATATTAATTTAAAGAATTGTATTGTAATTGGTGTCAGAAGCTTAGAACACAGTGAAGGAGTCATTTCCGACCCAATAAATCATATATATTTTTGATCAGCATCAAAAGCTGAATCGATCTAGCTATGTCCGGGAAAAATAAATTTTTTTAAATTTTTCTAAATTGTATAAGGGGTTACATCGTTAAAATTGTCAAAAAATTTAAGAAAAATTCTAATTATTAAAAATTTTAAATTGAGTAAGCAGATTTAATACCCTTAAAAAAATATACATTAAACTGTTTTCCGATCTAAAATTAATGCTGTTTTGGCTTAGTTATGAACTTTTCAAACTTTGATTTGTCCAAAAACCTTTTATACCGATAACTCTTAAAGTCTTAACTTATAAACTATAGAATTTAT